GGGCCGGACGCCTCGGGGGTGGGGGTCGGGGGCCGGGCCAAGTCTGCGGCGTGCTCGCGCCCGCGGGGACCCCGGGGGCACAGCCTGGAACTGAGTCCCCGCAGTGGGGCCGCTGTCACCCGCAGACCCGGAGCCCTGGGGCGTGCCGGGTGGGCAGGCCTTACCCACGGAATGAAACACGCCTCGACCGAAATGCCAGCACGCCGCCCCCTCCGCCCGCCCCACACCAGCGTGCAGCGGTCTTTTCAGATCGATGTGGGGGACCGAGGCTAGAAATGAATCTGTGCATCTACCACCGAAAAGAGTGTGTGTTTCTCAACACCGCTCTCGCTCCCCTGGCCTTCCCTTCCCTGGCCCTCCACGTCTCCTGTGTGAGAGACGTCAAGTAGGCTGGGAGGGTCATTCACTCTTACGTAAGAATTTAAGAGCAATGGGTTCTGTCGTCCTGCCAAATGCAGACCTCGCTGCCAGGGCGGAACTGGGTGAATCTGATTTATTACGTTTGGTTCAACGGTTCAACAAGTGCTTATCGGGAGCTTACTGTGTGCCAGGCATTTTGAAGGGTACAAAAGTATAAAATTCAGAGTTTAAGTCTGGGGGACATATTTCGATGTTGCTTAAATGTGGAAATTCAATCATTCCTAAGTTCACTGAAAGTTGAATTGGGGGCCTACTGTGTGCAGGGTGCTGTAAAGGGTACATGCAGACATGAATAAAGTTAGGCATCCTGTACACTCTCATTCTGGGGGGGGGGAATAGCACGGGAGTCAGGTGTAATGCTACTGTGTGGGCAGGTGGTGAGAGAGAGGTTCAATTCTGTCTCCCAACAGGTGCCACGTTGTGGGCTTGCCTTTGAATAATGCTCCTCCTCACTCCTATCTTGTTCCAGGGTCCACTAATTCGGCTCACCTCTGAAAGGCTTGTAGCGTCTTCTTTCTTTTCCATTCCTACTAGTGAAAGCCTACTTTGTTCACCCATTCATCTGTCCAACAAATGTGTCTCAAGAATCTACTACGTGACAGACACTGTTCTAGGCTCTTGGAATACAATGCTGAACAAAAGAAGCAAGGTTAACAACCTCCCGGGGCTAACCGGCTAGTTCTGTGCCTTTCTCCTCACCTTCAGGCTACTCAGGCATTCTCTTAACTTCCTGGTTTTACCTTCTGTAATCTCCCCTATATTCAGCTTCCAGACTGATTTTTTTCTTGTTTAAAATTGTATCCTTTGCGGGTGCCTGGGTGGCTCAGTCATTAAGCGTCTGCCTTTGGCTCAGGTCATGATCCCAGGGTCCTGGGATGGAGCCCCACATCGGGCTCCCTGCACAGTGGGAAGCCTGCTTCTCCCTTTCCCACTCCCCCTGCTTGTGTTCCCTCTCTCACTGTGTCTCTCTCTGTCAAATAAATAACTAAAATCTTTAAAAAAAAATTGCATCCTTTGATCATGCATGCTATTCCATTGCTTAAAAAAAAAAAAAAAAAAAACCCTTCTGGTAATCTAGTACCCTATTTAATATTACCTTCCCTGTTCCTGAAGTGCTTCACATCATCCAGAACCTTTTTCACAAGCAAGATTCCATCCCCATGCTAAGCCATTGTTCTGTAGTTTTCATCAGTGTGAATTATAGAGGGTTGAATTGTGCCTCCCAAAGATACGTTCAAGCCCTAACTCCTAGTATCTGTGAATATGACCTTATTTGGAAACAGGGCTTTGCAGGCATAATCAAGTTAAAATGAGGTCATACTGGGATAAGCCTTAAATCCAATGGCTGATATCTTTATAGGAGAAAGATCCAGGAGATTTGGAACCCCACACACAGAGAAGATGACCATGTGAAGATGGAGGCAGAGATCAGAGTGATGGGATCCAGAAGCCAAGAAATGCCATGAATTTCCAGTAGCTCTGAGAAGGTAGAAAGAGGCAAGGAAGGATTCTTTCCTAGAGCCTTCAGAGGGAGCATAGCTCTTCCAACACCTTGATTTTGGACTTGTAGCCTCCAAAACTATGACAGAACAAATTTCTGTTGTATTAAACCACACAGTTTGTGGTAATTTGTTACAGCAGCTCTAAGAAACTAGTAGAGGGATTAGTGTTTCTTTCCCTCTCCCCCACCAACCCTTCTCATTTTATGTCCTTCCTCCTCTCATCTTAATTCTCTGCCATATCATGAAAGCCTTGAACGCCTGACTAAGAAGTTTCAACTCCAGGGGTGCCTGGGTGGCTTAGTCAGTTAAGCGTCTGCCTTTGGTTCAGGTCATGATCCCAGGGTCCCAGGATCGAGCCCCATTTGGGCTCCCTGCTCAGCGGGGAGTCTGCTTCTCTCTCTGCCCCTCCCCCTACTCCTGCTCTCTCTCTCTCTCAAATAAATAAAATCTTGATTAAAAAAAGTTTCAACTCTATTTTTTTAAGATTTTATTTATTTATTTATTTATTTATTTGACAGAGAGAGACACAGCAAGAGAGGGAACACAAGCAGGGGGAGTGGGAGAGGGAGAAGCAGGCTTCCCGTGGAGCAGGGACCCCAACGTGGGGCTCGATCCCAGGACCCTGGGATCATGACCTGAGCCGAAGGCAGATGCTTAATGACTGAGGCACCCAGGTGCCCCTCAACTCTATTCTAAAGGCAGTGGGAATTGACTGAAGGTTTTTGGTTTGGAAGCTGGGGCCCAACAGTTTCAGAGCATCCTGAGGAATGACTCAGAGGGCTGATGCAGTCATCTTGACGACAAGCGGTGATGGCTAGAACAGGAGGAACAGATGCGGGGCGTGTTGTCGAGAGCGGAAGGAATGACTTAGCAATCAATGGGATGTGAGGACTGGGGGAGGCAGAAGGCTAGTTGGTGACTAGGTCTAGAAAAATGGTGGCCCACAACCCACCACAAATGGATGAGAAGAAGTCTTAAGGCAAGAGGGGGAATGATTAACAAGGTGCTGCCGGTTAAACAGCTCTCAGTGGCTCTCTGCTGAGTGGTCCTTCCTTTTGCTTTCCTTTGCCAACCTTCTCCAACTTTAAACATCCATTTTAGTCCTCGCCTCTTCTAAGAAGGGTTTACTAAACATTTATTCTTCAAAACAGTCTAGCCTTAATTCGCTTGGAATCCTATCTTTTTAGAGTGAGAAAGTGCCTTTTTGGAGTCTTCTAGACCCTTCTACAACATCCCCCAAAGTGGCCATCCCTCTGCTGGAGTATGTTTGGTGGCAGAGTGCTCATTGCTGGGTGACTCTATTCCAACGTTATACTGTTAGAGAAGATCTCCATGAAGAATCAAATTTGCCTCTCTGTAAATCCCCACTGTTGACATGAGTGCTGTCTCCTAGGGCTTCACTCTCGAAGTCAAACTCCTCTCGTACATGACAGCCCCTCACATACTTGAAGGCAGCTCTCACGTCTGTGTCAAGACTTCTGATCCTTGGAAAGTGCTGTTGTGGTTATTGCTTTTGTATAACACCCCCCCACCCCCCCACCCCCAACTAGCAACTTGAAACAATTTGAGAAGGGCTTACCTGGGCAGTTCTGGCTCTGGTTCTATCACAAGATTGCAGTCAGATGGTAGCTAGAGCGGGAACCATGAGGGGGTTGGAACAGCTGGAACAGGCCAGGCTTTTCTCTGACTCTAAGTAGTCTCAAGGCTCTGTCTCCATATGGTCTTTCTGCATGGGTAGGCTTGAGCTTGCTCACAGCATGGTGGCTAGGTTCCAAGAGTGAGCATTTCAAGAGTACCAGCGCATGCTCTATCAGCTCTTATATGACCTTACCTTAGAAGTCCTCTGGTGTCACTTCTGCCAGAGTCACACAGCCCTCCCAAATCCAAGGTGAGGACTATCGTTCCCTTATCTCAATGGGGGAAATGTCAAAGTTAATATTTTAAGAAGGTCATGTAAGGTGGGTGATATTTGCAGCCCTTTATGGAAAATGCAGTCTGCCTAGTAACACCTTCTCTCAACTGTCCTCCTGGCCTTCCTCCGCTGAAAGTGTGTTGGAATAAAGTAAGGCTTAGGATTAAGACGGGCTGTGTTTGAATCTTCTCTCATTTACATGTAGCTTGGAACAAGTTTTTTTTTTTTTTTTTTAAAGATTTTATTTATTTATTTGAGAGAGAGGACATGAGAGGGGGGAGGGTCAGAGGGAGAAGCAGACTCCCCGCTGAGCAGGGAGCCCGATGTGGGACTTGATCCCGGGACTCCAGGATCATGACCTGAGCTGAAGGGAGTCGCTTAACCAACTGAGCCACCCAGGCGCCCCTGGAACAAGTTGTTTAACCCCCATTAATCTTCAATGGGTTGCGTAATGGGGAATCTGAACTCCTACCACACAGGATGTAGTAGATGCCTTTTTGAGTAAATGCCTGGCATGCAACGTTCTACATTTCCAGTTCCTTCTCCCCCTATGCTTCACCTTTGGCTCCTAGGTTTCAGCTTCCATGTTTGTACTATATAACCCCACCTGCCTGGTAGAGTTCATTGGACCAGTATTCCTGGCTATTCCTGCCACAAACTGAGTCTATCAGGTTCTCCCCCCTGCAAATCTGGGCTTTGAGTTCCAAGGGTTGTGACTGAGGGTGTGACCTTTGGAATCAGACTGTCTGGTTTGAATTCCGAACCTTCCCTTTCTGAGCAAGAAAATCTTTACTAACTTTTTTGGGCCTCCGTTTCCTTATTTGTAAAATAGGATGATGGTGATTGATGATAGGAAAAGT